CCTGGTTGTAACTTGATTAAGAGCTTGTTTTCGCAAAAACTGTTCTTGTAGTTGAATTCGCGCGATTTTTGATTTCGATAGGTACTTCTAAAATTTCCGACAGACGACGAGTATAAATCTTTACGCATACGGGACATCGTTACTACACACGATAAACACGACTATGCACTAAATAACATTTAACACACATCACATTTGAACATATGATATGATGTATAATTTAATCTAATAATCGATTACGCGAGTCAGTTGCAACTGTCGGACTATTGATCTATTAATATTTACTATTATACTCAATAAAAATGTCCCAATTATCGGGATTCATGGCCCAGATAAGCGGCGTAATTTTACATTACAAGTACCTATAAATTTGTTTTCGTAATTGTAGAATTGTCGCGATTAAGCGGTTTTCCTTATTAACCGGTGTCTCCATTAAACGGAATCGACTGTATTTTATAATTTTGAACCACCCCTAACGGTAGATACGATTTTTGTATTTGTAAAATAAAAATATAGAATGGTCAATTATTCATGAACAAAAAAAAAAAAAAAATATCCAACACAAATATTCGAGAAAGTTATACATAATTCTAAATAGTATGTGCGCACATGTTGTGTCCACTTTTTTGCGGAAGTCCGCTGCTTAATAATCTTTATAATTTATGTAGAAGGATAGCTGATCTTTGTTCAATTGTGTAACATTAAAAGTACACTACTTGAAATATGTTATTGAGTGAACCAGAACCAATTTCACAATACAAGGTTGATCTGTAAATGTAAACCTCATACGGAATAAAATGTTAGTGCTTTATAAAAATTCCATATAGAAATGTTTAGATTTCTAAATCTTACATATGGGACCTAATTCAAATAGTTTGATATAGTTTGTGCATAACGATTTAAAATAATATAAAATTGTTTTATAATTGTACACACCGAGTACTTTTTTACGTTAGTATGTACGATTTGTATTTATAATTTGTTTAGCAGCATAACATGTTTAATATAAAATAAAGCTAAGTTAGAAATGGCAACGTTATTTAATATCCATTGAATCCGAAATTAATCATTAACGTTTAGCCCTTAAAATTTGGGTTCACATTGGCATTTGACATTTACTTATTTGCTAAATAATTAGTAATGGCTGATGGAATGTAAAAACGATCTCACATATTTTCATTAGAGTTTTATTTTTATTTTTAACTCTCTCTTCTTATTCGAAATCGGTCATATTTTTTATAAAGAACATTCGAAGATTTTATTAATTTCTATAAAACATTCGATATTATTCGTATATTTTTATGCGTTATTATATTACACATATGTCCAATTATTAATATATTAATCCGCCGTTCTTATTATTTTTTAACTAAAAAATTCCAGTTTGAAGCTTTAAAATATCATAAAATATCAAAATATTATCGTTAATACAAATTTGCATTTAAATCAGTAACTATGGGAAAGTTAAATACTATTAAATACTTTATTGTTTAATATTTATATGACGTACCTATCATCGGTAAAATAACCATAGCAGTCTTTGTTAGGCAATTGTAAAATTATTCAAATATTTACTATTATTTTAATCACTTTTGTTTCATAATTATTACAATAAAAATTATTATAGTTGTGCGTGCACGTAGGCTTATGCAAAAATGAGAAGTGGAAGAGTGTAAAGTTCATTTAAAAATAAATATCTAGCAGGTAATTTCAAAATATGAAAATTAATCTCTTGGTTCAGTGATTTAACCACTTTTAACACGAATAGAAGTGTATTTAATAAATAAATTAAACAATATTATAAAAGAAATATTTTAAAATTCATTTTTGGGTAAATAAATAATTTATCATAATGTATAAACTAAGATGAATATCTTGTGTAATGTCCTTGAATAAATAGAGCTGTATACAATTTGAAAATCACTAATGAATTTAAATCGTCCGTTGATTGAAACAAACAAAACAGTCAACAGATTATATGATTATGTTTTAAAGTAATTATAAATGTATTATACTAATTGGTAGCTGCTAAATATTCTAAACTAGTTAGCAGTTTGATATGTTACGATAATTCGGTATTGCATGTGGTGAAATTTATTGCTAATGATGTATGGGTGCAACAGGAAACTTTATTATTTTTTATTTTTACTTTAAAAAATTATATGATTCTCATAAACAAGTTTATACCATTATACACATTATATTTTATAATATTTTAAGTAATATTTAAAGTAAAATGTGATTTTTAAAAGTAAAATAATTAATACATATCATTGATTTCCTATTAATGAGTAAATTCTAACATAAATAATAAATTTTTCCAGTTTTTAATTGAATGTTCTGAATCATAATATTTTGATGTGAAATAAAACCATCGGTATTTATGTATATTAATACAAACAAAATAATTGTTTATATAGTTCCAATTATTGGAATACATATGTAAACAAATGCAACATTTTATAATTACTCATGATTTTAATTATATTTAATTTTGAATACAATTAGAAAAAAATATCTATCATATTTCAATAAACCGTATCATATTTAATAAATACAAATATCTTATGTTATTTACTAAGTAAATATTATTCAATGTATTAAAAGAATATAATTATATACGTATTTTTCACACCTGAGATTTAAAAATTTGTATTAATTTATTTTTATAATTAATCTCATTATTTTTTTAATATTTTTAATAATTTATACAAAACATTTTTAAAAAATATTTACATAACATAATTATTTATTTTTATATTATATTATTATTATTATTATTTTTTTATGATTAAGTGAATTAAATGCAAAATCATTAATTTATTTTAAATACAGTTGAACCTGCATATAATGATCTTCATGAGACCTTGAGAATCAGATCCTTATATCCGAACTTCGCTGTATATGAATGATAAAAAAAAACTTTTAAAAAAAATTTGATGTATTGAAATATTGATTTATTAAATAAATATTTTGTATTTAAAATGTATAATTATACAAACCAGGATATACATTTATGAACAAAAAAAGTATGTATTATGTATATGTAATTATTCTAACTTAATTAAGTGTGTTTTCAGCTTTATGATAAAAAAAATTAGTTATAGTACTTTGCCTATAACTGGAACGATACGATTTATTAGTTATATTTTATAGTCCCATAAATATTTCTGGTTTATTGATATCGCTATTTAATGAAACAGAAGTACGTACTTGATAAACTGAAAAATTTGTATAATGTTAGAGAAAACGAAATATTGTATCAGACTAAATGTAATTTACTGTTATAGGACTTATAACATAGGCGGAAAAAAAACTAATTTTCATTTAAAAATTACATTGATGTATCCGAATGATCAATGTAACTTATATCGCAATTTCCGACCAGAGTTACTGCACGTGAGTTATAAAACCATTCAAATACATATTCATATCCAAATATTTTACGGTGGAACTGCGAAGAAATATTACATACTGCATTATGTAGTATTAACCTTCAGAGTTGCGAATTTTGAACTCGGAGGGGAATCATTTATGTAATATAAATAGCTGACTGTTGATTGTAATTTTTTTGAAACGAAACACAAAAATATATAAACAGGCCAAATACAGGTTTTGGTTGAGTTTTAATAAACTTAGAAATAGACTGCTTAGTTATATCCGGTTTTGATTTTATCCATGAACAAATGTCCGCAAAATCCGGTTAACTGTTAATGTAGCTCCGACGTTTATAGTGTTTATAAATAAACATTCTCAATTAAACTTTTTTAGTTATAAAAAGTTTTAAATTTTATTTTTTTATTTTTATTATTGTATCAATTTCAACATTGTAGCTAAGGTTATATATGGTTAATCTAGAAAAGTATTGATGATATGTATTTGATGATTTTTCCGAAACAATTCTCCTACCTATAAATACATCAAAATGAGTCTCTTGAAGTATTTTAATGACAAAAGAAAAAAAATGTATAAAATTGGTTTATCGTCGAAAATAATATAATAGTAAAATAAAAAGACCTTTTATGTTTTTCTTAGAATCTAAAAATTAAAAACTATTGATATATTGACCACAATATTTTCTTTTTGTGTAGAGTTACGTGGGAAAGTGATGTTTTTAAAATTTGAAATTCAAATAGTTTTTGTCATAACTAAAAGACGTTTGAAATTATAATTGGATCTATCCAAAAATTGGATAGGTTTACAATTTTAATCAATTTATACAAAAAAATTGGTTTTTATTTATTTTTCTAGGTTTATGTTACTATTTGCCACAGTTTTCACTAAATCTACTTAGCAATTAAATACAAATTTGTCAACAGTGAGATGAATCCGTGTTCAAATGTTTAACCTACAGCAGATCCGTCTGAATTATTTTTTATAAGTACCAAAAAAATAACAAACTATTGAAAAAACATTAGTCTCTGTCTGCCTTACTGAATCTAATACATATATAATTTTTTTTTAGTGCCATATACACCTTTATACTATGTTTTATTTATATAAATACATGCCTAAAGCAGTAAACATTATTATTCCTTGCGATAAAATATAAAATACACCGAGGGTTTGTGATATATTTCCCTTTCAGAATCAGAAAACTCGGAAACGTAATTCTACTGTAAATCAAATGAAGGTCTTAGGTAACTGAAGATCATATCAATGACTAAACATCAAATTCTATTTCCAATAAGTGTAGGTGCATTTATTCGACCATATTTGAATTCTTATGTGAGACATTTATTCGTGTAATTCATGTATTTGTTTAAATTTTTGCTATTTATCTTTTATACAGAATAACTAAGTAACGAAAATGCGACCAATCGAATTGATTTATAATAATATATCGATTATTGTAAATTCTCATAATAAAGAATAGTTAATTATTATTAGCGATCAGCTAATAGTTTTGAGTATTAAATATTAAAAATCTACTTTCTTAGTTTTGAAGAAACGGTTTACAATAACAATGACTCTATGATTATTATAGCCATTTAACTTACCCTGCTTGTAACATTGTTGTTTTTCGTATACCAAAATTAATTAATAACACGAAGTTTCTCAGGGCGCGCTCGATTGTTTCTCGAATGACCGAAGTATGACGATAAACCAAGAAAACGCACTTTACGACATGAAAATAGCAAAACAACCAAATACAAAGCCAATGCGAGACCGCCTAGCTCAAGTACTCAAGACACAACTGAAACGCAGGGAAATTTTTAAATTATCAAGTGTTATTTTACTTAAGCGTCTCCCTCCCTTGAAATCAAAACATAATTTACCAAAGCACCATGACCGGTTTTACGTTTCAAGTTCGACAAGATTCTCGGTGCTATCATCTAGTTACTGTTTTTCCGTATCGTAAATCACTAATACATCAGCCAACAATTATACATTATAATTGTAATAGTTTTTCGAAGTTAAGTCTTACGAATATTGCTGGTACATATATATTTTATTGGCGAGTTCATAAGATCGGTATACAACATAACTATTTAACTATTGGCTTTGACTATATTAATTTATAACGTACCAAGCTGACCAGTATAATTTTATCTTCAATTTCAAAATAACTATTTAATTTATTATTTTCAAACCAATCGAAATAGTATTTATTTAACATGTTAACGGTTTGTGTTGCATGCTTGTATATACAACTTATACGACCATTTTATTATAGAGTCATAATAATTCGCAGAATTCACTCTGTATAATTTTGCAATATATTTTGCATTCTATGAACTGAAATTTAAAATGTCACGGATTTGGTGCTGCAAATTAATTATTTATTCCTTAGCGCTAAATGGGTTTATTCGAACGATTATTGTAAGTATAAAATAAAAATAAAAATAACTCAAAAGCAATGTAAGTACACAGCATAAAGCAGATAGTCGTAGGAATTAAGAAACATTCCTTAAAGAAAGGTGTTAATTATGTGAAAACCTTTGTACAGTGGATATTCTTGAGAAACTATTTAATGCTCACAGTGAGAAGGTGTCGTAGAGAAAATTATAAAATATACACATTTTAGTGTAAAAACAAACAGGATAAGTACATTAAAAGCGGTGATATATAGTAAATTATGTATTTTGTTCTTAACTATTAAAAATAGTTAGTAATTATTTAGTAATTGATTTTATGTGTTTATTATTTGTTAGATATAAAAATGACGTGCTGAAAAAATAAGCAATATTATTTATTACATAAATATATAATTTTTTGTTTTTTTTTTTTGTGTGTTCTTCTAATCCAATCAACTTTTAATTTATTGAATAAGACTACCATAAAGATAAAGAAATATATGAATAAAAGTAATAAAATATAATTATATTTTTAATAGATAAACATTTTGGACAGTAAATATTACACTAAATTCAGTGATATGAGTAAATTTATGATGTTGGGGCCTGTATTTAATAAGTACGTCCACAGTTTAAAGCGTCCGTTATTCAGAACTTATTGATATTGTTTACTATTATAAAAACGAAAAAGAAATTCCTAGCCAAGGAATGTAAAGTGTCCACTATTGGGTTTGTGGGCGAGTTCATAAAATGTATGATAATTTAATTTATAATATATGAATACAATTCTTTTATTTATCTAATACAAATAAAAAACTATATAGATGTATAATTTGCATTTCAATTCAAAGTCATGTACAATAATATTTTTTCATCAAGCAATAACTAAATAACTATTTATTCCAATGGAAATGTATGAAATATTCTTAGTACGATTTCTAGGTAGGTACGATTCATTTTTACTACAACATTTAACATTCTAAAGGACTTAAAGAATTTTGACTATTTAGGTAAAAAGAAAATTCCTTAAATTACCATTGCCTAAAATAATTCGCTGTATTATGCGTTGTACCTAATAATGTATATTTATTGTGAAAGTTTAAAATTTTTTTCTACCTCAAAGCTTTCGCCCAACCGCATAAATTATGTTTGAGCACTGTAAACAATGACATAACAAGGGTCTAAACAAGGGTGTGATTGAACTAATACTATAGACACCATTGCAGGGGATGTGGAGCTAATTTGAACCTCTAGAGGTCAGGCTATATGCGCATTTATTTTTATCTATAATCAATATGTTTCCGTTTATGATTTTGTGTTTAACGTCAAACTATCACGAACACACCATACGTCGACAAATAAAAATTAACTCAGAAATCCAATAAAATCATATTCATATCAATCATGAGTAAATGCAATTTATAACAATATATATGTACCAATAATGTGCGCGTCGTACAATCCTTCGATTTGCGTTTTTCGAGTAACTTGTCACCGAATTTGGTTGTAAATGAATTTTTATCAAATGTATATGCTCTAAAAAAAAAATAAACAAATTTTATGGAGAAAAATATGGCAATAACAAATTAAATAAATAAATAAAGCAGTTTCAATATTTTATACCTACTTATATTTATATTTCGCGGTAAAAATATATCCATTACGTTCTCATATAGATATTGAAATAATTAATATGAATTGATTTATTTTAGGATTTGTCATACCTATTGAAATTATATGTATGATTCCATGACAAAACACTTTGATCTCATGCAACATCGGCAAACGTGACATCTTCCATAGGTACGCCGGCCTTGACGATTCTATTGGACAGGATAAATCATAGAATATTTTTCTGTATTCAAATTAAATAATGAAAATACAACAATAATTATTGTGTTTTTATAATATTCACGTATTTAGAACTAATCGCGAGTAATTATTGAAATACAAATTTCTAAAATTCTATGAACTTCAAATTTTGCTATGAGGCATTAGCATAATTTACGTTTGTAAGGTAACAATCATTCGTCGAACTAAAATTGTCAAAAATGAAACAGCGTAGTAAACAGAGCAAAATTGTAATATTATAATTAATTTAAATATAAACGATTGAATTAAATTAAATTTTTCAGCAATATTGTGTTGGTTGGATATTATATTTCCGTTGAGTTCATCATGAACAATTCAGTATAAAATATTTTCTTCTTAATCTTTGAAAAATATTTATGAAAGTAGCTATAAGTATGTATAGTTTTAAAATTGTAAGAGTATTATATTATGAATGCTTCGGGGTATGTTCAATTTTTGAAAGATGAGATCAGTTGTTTGGTTGATAGTAAATCACAAAGAACATGACGTTTTCAATTTTTGATATTATAATTTTATTTACTAATCAATAGGTATACTGTTGTTTAAGAAAAATGATTTTGAACGAATATCATATTTTCTATAAAAGTAATAATTAATCATTTATGTAAGATAATTAAAAACCAAAATCTCCAGATTTATTTATACTTTGATTGATCGAGAGACTACAATCGGCACAAGTACAATGGATATCAATAATGTTTGTTGAAGGATAACAATAACGTTACTTGCAAACAAAGAAAATTAGGTGATTTTTAAGCAAATTTAGTAGAGAAATAAGTAAACAAGAGTGAATGCGAGAAAGAAGCCACCAGATCTTTTAGTATTGAAACAATAAATTATTTTAGTCCTGTATCTTTTTACCTTTTAAATGTATAATAACATTTATATATATTTAAAACTTTACTTTAAAAATTAATTTTAGTAATAAAAGAAGTATAAAAAGTTGTTTTTTACAAATTCCTTATTTAAAATTGTACTTAGAAAAATTATTTGCTGTGATAAACGGATTCATGTAAACGAATAAATTGGGAAATATTTTGCACTTAAACCCTACCGATGCGTTCTAATTCATTTACGACCTATAATTTCAGAATCAGTGCTATAGTATTGATTCATGCATATTGAAATATATATATAAAATAAGATGGTTTTTATTATTTTATCACATAAAACTACATTTGATTTAAAAGAAAACGGTCAATAATTTTAGATAATATAAAACTGTTAACACAGTTCGTGTTTGGACACCGTTGCGACCACTCGTGTTTTAATCGCGCACCGTCTTAATTAGCATCCGATAGCTGTACTACTCATCGTGAACGCCGCGCCGAGCCGTAGACGATCGGTAATGTATATGATAGGAGCATAACAATTCACATAATAATTACGACTAAAAGGGCCATACACGGAACGATCTGTCGTCAAACTTGTCATCAAACCAATCGGCCGATCAGTTGTCAAACCTGACTCAGTCCACACACCAAGTAGTTTGACGATATCCAACCTAACTTTTTAGTTGGTGAAGTTTGTTTTGTTTGTTTATATTGTGATAATGTGATATGGTTTATATCGCAATTGAAAATCAAAATATTATTCGAGTGGTTGCATCTTAAAGTTTATGGAATTTTTTCATTTTCGCTTTGTATATTTTTACGCACAATGAACAAATTAGATCGAAAGAGGAAATTATTGCTGACAACTGCTCTTGTTTTGTCTGTGGATGATGATGACGATACGCAAAAAAAAAGGAAATGGTCAAAACCGTGGCTTTTAGAACATCGAAAATATTCGCATATGAATTTGCTACGTTAATTGCAGTTCTGTGGCATCATCTAAACTGGATATTCCCACTCAGCCACTTTCATCTTCCGTAGTAAAAGACAATAAGTCATGTACCATAACGTTGGTACGTAAATATCATCAGCAGATAAGCCGGTAGTTTTTGATTCCAAAACTTTGTTTAGCTCTCTTCTAAATGCAGACCGTAGGTTGTTTATTTTACGTTTTACAAAAGCTGCAATAGCATCTTTAAATTTTTCTTGACACACCTTTAACAAGTCTTCGATACCTAAGTTCCTCAAATGTTTATTTTTGGACGTTTGTAGGTTTCTAAAAACTCAGTCACAAATGGTTTGTTTTGATCCATTTTATAGCGGTACATAAATGGAATATTAAAATATAACGTCAAACACAAAAGAAATTCGGATTTCAGAATAAAAATAAAAATGTAATGTTAATCAATGTGTAATAATTAATGATAATAATAGTGATAACAATGTTGTGTAGTACACTTTGTCAGACAGTTACATACACGCACAAACCGCGTCTGTCATCGTTCAGTTGGTCGTCCGGTTGATACGTCAAAACTTACGACCGACGATCAGACGGCAAACTTACAAACACGTCCATACACGTGACGATTTGGTCTGTTAAACGTTGCTTGACGACAAGTTTGACGATAGATCGTTCCGTGTATGGGACCCTCAAAGGGCCGCGTCCTCGTTGCGTTATCTCTACGATTGGCGATAATA